TAAGTTACTTGAGATGAGCTTAATATCCAACTTCTCATGCTTATCGCTGGAGATGTTCTTAGCCTTATCTTGATCATTACCGTCAGAGATGCAGAGCAGAATGGAGTGACCCCCTCCAACTCCATTTTCACCAAACCTCCCAACCACTATGGGAGAATCAGCGGTTGATGCTCATCCCATATCAGTTCCCGAAATATCGCAAGCGTACCATGACGGCATTGCTACGTGATTTACGTACGTCACATTTATTTCAAAGTAAGTGAAAATACTGGAGGAGAAAAATAGTATTTGAGCACCAGAAATAGGAGGATTATCCCCAGAAATCCCTAAGCATTCGAATCAAGCCACGTAGTCTCTCCTATTTATTTCAGGAGATAATCTTTCTATTTCTAGTGACGTTGATATTCTTCTTTCGTCAGCATTTCCGACAGGGTGGTGTGGATTTTTGAAGAAGAGGGTGGAAATCCTTTTATGGGCATGATTCTATGTTTGAAGAAGCTTATGCCTGGACGTGAATTGAGGGAATGATTTGATATTCATTAACGTAACGGACGACGTCTGCCACACGGTGGCACCGCCAAATCGGATCCGAAGGCCGGTGTGCGCCACACGGTGGTGGGCCCGAAGGCCGGTGGTTGGCGGCCGACATGGTGGTGTGCACGGCACTTAAATAATCAAATTTTTACTCATTTTGGAACTATTCCAAGGTGTATCCATCGCTTTCACCTCAAGCTTCAAAGGATTCCCGTATTCATACATTTCCCCAATCATGGACACCTTAACGTTTGCCCGATACTCGTACACATCAAACCTATACACTAAACACAACTAAAAAATGTCTTCATATACAAACCCCTCTCTATAACTTGTTTCTTCCTTACTGAATCAAACGTTTACCTCTTACCTGAGAAGTATCTGGAAAAAAAAAGAACGAAGGATTATAACGAAAAAGAGATGCTCAGGAAATATGACCAGAATAAGCTCGGATACCCTTGAACTCTGGATCACAAACTAAGGCCGATGTCGTCTGTCTGTGCGTCGCGTACACAAGCAGATTTGGCTGCCCACGCGAACGCAACCCGCAGACGCTAGCGAGTCACCCGATTCGCAAAGTTTGACATCGGCCCAAAGCGGACTAATAGGAAAAGTGAGCCACTGATTGGAACATAGAAACTTCACATATTGTAGCTTCTACTAATTAATCTCTGATGGAAACGTGCAGGGCAGAACTCTGTGAAGAAGAAAAAGAAGTTAATGAAGAAAGCCGTATAGGTTACGCGACTTTTCTCGAAGTGATCCATGTCTCTTTTCGCGCGTAAGCTACGTGTTTTCTGCCCTCGTCTGCGCTTTCTCTCATGGAAGTACAGTTTACTGATCGTGAGTGAGGGTCTTACAACGTACTCGTACATTCCAATTTATCCTAACAGTCTTCGTCATGGTTCCCATATGCAAGACCTTCGTAGTATCCGAAGATGAGTCTGCAGTAGCTTTTTCTTGTTCAGTAATCCTTCTCTAACTGAGAGTAGTATCAGGATAAAAGACTACGACGACTATGCTGATGGCTGAAATCTTCTGGCTGAGAGAGTTAAGGCAAGAGATGGCTTTTCATTGACAAGCTCTACCCGTGTGCCACCATGTGGTGCACCGGCGTCGGAAGGTGAGAAAAAAGCATCGGGCACATTAAGCTAGCGCAACGCAAAAATGCGCTCTTGCCGTTACGTGGTGTAAACGCCTAATGCGCAACAACCCAGCGCGTGATGGGATTCGAATGTGAAAAAGATATTGTTAACTCGCCAGTACAGAAAAATAAGGACAGCACACCACCTAGAGAGGGCTAAAAGTGAGGGTTCACGTTTTTTTGGTCGTAGGTGAGCCTGCGAGACAAACAGTCCGAGAGATACCAGGCCTCGAGCGGAGGGAACAGACTTCAAGACGCAAAACAAAGGGGACGAACGAAACGCAGACAACAGCGAGCAGTTCAGTATGGAGCCGTAGACAGAGAGTTGTTTCAAAATTATATCGCTCATTAAAGGACGAATTCACGCTGGGAAGGCAACCCATTTCAAATTAACTCAGGGATGGTGATTGGTACACGAAAGAAGGAAGAACCATGAGAAACGGCCCAGAACCCGAGAAATGGGACCCCTTCCTTCCCCGCTGATTTGCGCATTGATGCGACTCTTATCGCTGTGCCCTCCTCAACATCACGCTCTCTCTCTCTCTGCTATCTAATCAATCCCACGTATAGATCTGCGGCGAGTGATCAGCTGGTCGGTGGGCGGAGATCGCCAGACCCGCCAACTTTGAGGCATAATAGGTCGCCGAGGTCAAATTTTTCGATGCGAATTGCGCATCAGTTCGCACCCTCAGGAGGTCCGTGGGTTACTCAACTAGGTGAATTACTTCTTCCTCGACCTCCATTCTAATCGTAAAATCCTCCTTTAAGCCTTAAAAAGAAGCAGTCTATGATGAGTCCAGGAGCAATAATGGATAGGACAGAGCTGTTCACAGATTTGCCGTTTCAACGGTTCAATAAAGCGCGAAGGGTGCTAGTGCCTTTATTAGTGAATCAGATAAACCGTCCCTCGTTGGCAACATTCTAGTCTGTGACGTTTGTCCCGTTGTGCTTTTTCGCTTACCCTATCTCCTCTGCAGCCCAACTCTCTTTGTCTCAACACAATATCTCAACACAATCAGCCTGCTACAGTAATTAATGATGATAACCACATATTAGTGTTTCCGAAGATCTCTCTTTTCTTTCCTGTCAACTTTCATAAATCTGCATTAATTTTCCGGTGCAAGAACCTCATAAATTTGATTGTGGAGAATGCCTTCAGGTTTCATGAGTAAGGTCCTCTCAGGCTTCCCTACGTACATTTGCTCACATTCTTTTCATTATTTCAAGCATACAGTTCACCTAAATTGGCATCGGAAGCCCACGGGGGGGGAGGGGGGCCGCTGATGACTTTGTGGAGCCAATTGAGTTTTTGGTTGGCTCGGGAGAAGGTATACCCGGGTAGTATTTGGCACGCTTCGGAAAAACCAGAAAGACTTTTATCGGGACAGGAATGCTATAAGGATTACTTGGACGCCTCATCTGCTCGCATGCGGTCTCGCTCCCCTCAATTCCCTCACTTACTAACGGAAATATGGCTTATGGCTCCTCGCGTACATAAATAAGAGCAAGCATCGAAGCTTGATGAGTCCACCGACCTATACAATATATCGATGGGAGAGAAAGATCTTAGCGACCATCTCGTTGACCGTAATATACCTGGTAGACAAGGACTGTGACGTTTGCTTATTTGTGAGAAAAGAAAGCTAGCTAAGTATTACTTTCTGAGCATCAGGGAAAAAAATGTTTGTCGTGGTTCAAAGGCGGAGCTTAAAATCGAAAGGCAGCCCATTAGTAACCAAAGTTGAGGTGGTCACGGGTGGCGGGATGAAAGAAAAAACCATGAGGATCCGTCCAGCTGATCGAAAATGAAATATTTCTTATCTTGCCGTTCATTTTCGCATTGGTGCAACTCCCACCGGTGCAGCCCTCTTCAACCTAACGCTAACTCTCTGCCAGATGCCTACAGTGAGACGGCGAGGTGGGCGGGTGCAGGGCAGAGCTGCGCGGGCATGATCTCGTACGCTCCTGAGAACATAACCTTCCTTTGCAGCGCGCATCGTTACGTACTCTGGGGACCGCCTACCTTTCAGACGTGTGAAATTCACCTTGGGATGCTCTAAACAGAAAATTATCCTCATTTAGCGAAGATCCCCACCGCTTAAAGAGCATTCTGCTTTGCTGAAGACAGAACAAACAAAAAAACTTTAATACAAGCGATAAAACGTAACATCGAACACCAGGATTAGCTTACAAACATGCTCTCTAATAAATAATTCAACTGTTATCAAACACATTTAATTCGAACCGGGATATTCACTGGTATTTCTTTTCACTGGGCTCTCGTAATAGTACTCTGCGAAAAAAAAAGAAAACGGTTAAAACAACGCATACCGCTCTATCAAGAATCTGCGGTCATGAAGCGAAATAGGATATCCATGAATGGAAGCAACTAAAACAAATCAAATCGGCGATCATCTACCTCAGCATCCGAGACAATGCAGGTACAACACACACACAGAGACAGACACACAGTTAAGGGCATTGGGGCCCTAGTTAGACTTGAAGACAATGGGCGAGGCCTCGCAATCTACTGTACAAACCGCGGCGCGGAACACGAAGATGGTGCTAAAACAGTGACATGGCAAAAGCTAAGGAACATAGGCGAACAACTGATTCTCCTCATCGGTTCCGTAATCCTGCTTTTCACAGAACGGCAGGGTACGCTGAGCTGAAGGAAATGAGGCGTTTTCTGCTAATAGGCTAAAACATGCTCGAAGAGGAGGTCTCGAATGCGAAAACTGAGATGAGGCTGGATTAGACGAGGTTTCGCATGGTTTGAGGTAAAGATGGTTGTATGCAGGTAGATCGCCATAACAAGGAACAGCTACGCAGCGGCTAGAATGCGAGGGCAGAGGTAGAAGCGGTTACATTAAACATGGACAGAGAGCGTGTGAGAGAGAGCGAGAGATTAGATTTTGAGAAGACAGCTCTAGAAGAACTTTTTGGGTAGACCATGCGAATCGGGTACACGAGCGATAAGCCCAGGCGATATGAGCAACATGTTTGGATGGGGCAGGGAAATGGGCGAGACTGTGGGTTACTACGACGGATAGACGAACAATAAACTCTATGTGAAACTTGAAACAAATCAAACAACAAGAAAAGAAAAGCGTATCGAATCACATGTGGAAATGACAAGAGCAGGCAGGCCTGAAGGGAGCGCTAAACTCGCAGCGGGCTCAAAGCACAAACAGCACATGTTCACCTAGCGATACAACACAAAACAAGTGTTGGCTTGAAGCCAGATTTCCACTTGAGTTAAACAACAACAGCGCAATAGAGTTGTTGCTTGAAGGCGAAGCGATTTACCACTTGAATCAGCTCAGAAGACGCGAATGCAATTGTTGCCGAAGTCAACCACATATATACGACCATCAGGAGCGATGGCTACATCAGTAGGGCGATCCAGTAGAGGACGAGGTCCAGTTGCTGGAGTGTCGAGAGCGACGCCACTCGTGGGTGTGGTGGAAGCGTGGTAGGGAGCAGGTCCGACAGATCGGAACGGAGCTGGTAGCTCAGCAGGCATTTCGAAACCGCTTGATGCGGACGTCTGCCCAAATACTGCGATGCAGCGCATGTCGTCCCCAGAAAATACCTACAAATCCCATGAGTTCAACTCCCAGTGGATACGCCAGTAATGAAGCACTTACCTGAACGCGATTATTTCTCGAATCACATATGAGGATGTGTCCTTCCGGATCCACTTTCACTCCTTGCGGGCGACAGAACATTCCTTCAACACTACCTTCGGTACCATACACCTTCATTTCTGGTGTGTCACGAGAGGATAACACAGCCAACCGATGATTGTTAAAATCACTAGAAAAAATAGCAAAATGATTATGAGGAGCACAAAATTCACATGACAAATAAAGCACAACCACTTACGTAATGAGGAGTTGGCCGTCGGAAAGATAACACACGCCACGAGGAGAATCCAAATGCTTGTAAAAGAATGCCGTGTCAAACCCACACTTCCGTATAAACTGACCATTTTCATTAAACACCTAAAATGAATGTCTTTCAAATATTGCACAAATTCGAGAGCCTCGAACATTCACAAGTTTGGCAACTATCCCACCATGGTTATTCCAAGACCTTTTTAACCCTTTGACGACAATGGCACCCACCGGTGGGTGCCACTATGTTCGCCGCGAGGTCGAAATTTTAGAGGTTTTGCCCTCCTTCCCTTTGAAACCCGAGTTTCCCTTCCAAATTTGGAATTCTTTTGAAAAACAATATACAGTATGAAAGCCTAGAACTGCAGTTATATCTGGTATACTGTTAAAGTCAAAAATTCTATAGAAAAACTGCTTTGAGGGACAATTTTGCCCAATTGTGAGCGAGTTGGGCGCGCCAAAAGAGGCGTGGTCCCATGAGCAAGCTACGTGCAAATCCGCATTGTCGTCAAAGGGTTAAAGCAGCGGTAACGGTTGGTTCTCGAGGTGTTTAGAAGGAACGTGAGGATGCTCAATGGTACATAAATGGCGAAATCAGAAAAATCCGTCAAGAGAACGCAAAACCGGAAAACCCCCTGGATTGGCGTCAAATTTTCAACTCATGCCAGTTCGCTTCTTCTGAGTGTTCGTACGGGAACAACTGGTGCCACAGGAAGTCTTTCGTTACCTACCCCACAGATTAACTCTCTGGATGGGAAATCAGCAACCCACAATGAAAAAAACCGGAACTTTGAAGATGAAGATGCATTAACTTCGTTGCCGGTTGGAAATGGAAAAGGAGGTGTCAATTGGTGGAGAAAAAAGAAAAACCGTAATAACTTCGTATAGCATACATTGCCACTGTTTAGCCGGATGGATGCAGACCAACAATAACTGGCATCACGTCGAACACCTTAATGCTTAGGCACACAATAGTATACCAGGCTTAACCAATACATACGCTACACTGAATGACGTTAGCCCTGCTCAAAAAAAGCGTGATTGGAAATGTATTAAGATCCTTGCTGACCGGAGGAGGGTTACCTTGGTGTAATACTTCGTGAGAGTCACAAAAATCCCAGTTTGCGCAGAGTACCTTCAGAGCTACAAACTGCTACGAGCTCATTTCTAGGCCGCTTCTTCGATTTCTTCTCCGTGTTGTAAGCTTTTGTGCTGAATGCTCGCTATGAGCCAGGCGATGTACATTCTTAAAGGGACGAAAAGATCAGCCGCATGAAAGAAAAAAACCCTCCATGCGAGTGCGGAAAAACAGCGTGAGAGCAGCGAACCCCCCCCCCACATTTGTCAATGAAAAAAGATAATCGCTTCGTCCCCCTCTGGCCTCGGTAACTGCCCTCCTAAAAGAGCCGACACAGAATGCTGTCCAACACCTCATAGATCACACGACCTGATCAACTGTTGGGTCAGTATGCGTCTCGAAAAGCACAGGCTTATAGTTTCCAACCTTCCCAAAACCAAAATCATTTTCAATCTTAGTAAATGCCTACTGTTCACATAAACTACGCGCAGTTATGGGCATAGACCTGGATCCATGAATGAGTAATTACGAAAACAAAATCATTCTTATTTTAAAACAAAAAGCAGAAAAAACTTCTACCTGAACTCTGTGATTTCGTGTGTCAGAAACAGCAATGTGATTCTGACTGTTTGTTGCCACTCCCCACGGATAGTTGAACATCCCAATGGGCCTTCCCCTCTCTCCAAACTTCAACAGAAAGTTACCGTTCTCATAAACACCTGTGCATTCTATGTTGTTTTTCTGTATCCGTATCGGCCACACAAATTGTTCTGCAAAGACCTACTTTCTATCGTCAGCAAAAAAAGTTGCACTATTTACCCTTTACTGCCCCACTCCTCGAGAACTGAGACGAATTTTTATCGAAATTTGTCATTGACTGTGGATTCGGCCTAGAAACTTGCCATCAGGGGGTAATTCGACCCGTAGAAACACGAATATCACATTTGTTCACCGCTCGAACGCCTGGCGCTCGCGCCAGAAGCGCCGGCGACAGGCGCCAGAACTATGTTGGACACAAAAACTCGCCTGGAAACTGTCTCGATGCTGCTTTGACCCATAGAGAACATGAATATCACATTAGTCGTTGCCGAGTGAGCCTGTAGCCTGCGCTACGGGCGCCCGCGCAAAACTGTTGTGATAGCGCCGGCGCCTGTGGCGCGGGCGCCAAGCGTTGTCGCGCTAAACCGGTGTGATATTCGTGTTCTACGGGTCGAAATACCCCCGGAAACAACTTTCTAGCCAAATCCTTAGTCATGGACGAATTTCGATCAAAATCCGGCTAATTCTTGAGGAGTGGGGCAGTAAAAGGGTAAATAGTGCCACAAAATTAAAGCAACGAGAACGAACCCTTGTATTGACAGTGACACCAGCTGGGCGATCGAATTGTCCTGAACGAGTTCCACCACAACCGAATTTGGCAAGAAAACCACCATCTCGATCGAAAATCTGAAATATAGTCGTGATAGACCTTCTTAAAATTATCGTGACACACAACACTTTCTCATAACTAAACTGCTTATTACCAACCTGGATACGGTTATTGCTTCGATCTGCTACAAGCACTCGACCACGCAAATCAACGCAAATTCCCCACGGACGACAGAGTTCGCCATCTGCGGATCCTGTAATAAGAACTTGCTCAGAAACAGAGAAATGATCGAAACAATTGAGCTCAGAAACCGCATGGTTGCTGTTGACAGAAGATTTCAGCCTCGAATGAAATCATTGAAACGTATCAATCACTCTACTAGTGGTAAGCTCACACAGATGTTTGTATAATATAGTTTGACATTTAACAGATAAGGTCTATTGAAGGGCCCTGACCACAATAAACATTTTCCTTCTCGACGCACCTTCCTTTCCAAATGAGAACAATTCTCCTTGAGCAGCAATTTCAGCATAATTACGTCCATGGCGTACGTCTACTACAGCTGGACAACCGCTTAAAGAGAAAGTGATTAAAAACTATTCGATTGATGACCTCTCAAAAGAATAGAACATCTACCTATTATACGCCAAAACGTTATAATGATTGTCAACTTTGAGAAATGTGTTGAAGCTCATTATAAGAAAACTTCAGGTGGTATTGGAATGACACGCTTGAAGGCGCGGCTCGCGATAAGAAGGCAGCCCATAAGAATCAAGGTATGGGCGGTCAGTGGTGCTGGAACGAACGCAAAACCATGATAAACGGCCTAGAACATAAGCAATGGAACCCCTTCCTTGTTTATTTTCGCATTGGTTCGACGCTCATCTCTGCCCCTCCTCAACGTTAACCCTCTCTTTGCTCGAGACTGCGACGAGTGGTTACCCAGACAGTGGGCGTGGAGCGCTGATAACGTCGCGGGGAGGGCTATGCTAGAAAACCAGGGCATTTCCTTTGCTGCGAATCGCGCGTCGGTCCGCACCCTTAGGGAGTTCGCATGTTCTTCCGCTCAGTGAGTTTCCCCCTTCTTTGACCTTCGACCTTATCATGGAATCCTCCTTTAGGCCGTCTCACGCGAAGACGTTTGTGCTCTAAGCCCTTTTGGGAAGACGCGAACAGCTGCAAAGCTTGTGAGGTGGACGCGGACGAGAGCACGTAAAAGGGATCCACCTCTAGCTGTGCACTTAATCAGAAATGTGACAGATGACAGAGGAAAGGTGAGGATAGTGGTATTCGAAACAGTGCATTTAAGAATCTGCTGCGTAACCTTCGTTTTTCATCTCACTATGTTCCATTAGCTCCATGGGTGTCCGCAGCTCTTCACTTTTGTTAATTTATAGATCTATGACTGATTTGTGTTTTGTCTCTGCTTCACAATACCGCTGTTTCCTCCTACTTTCTAAGGGGTCACCAACGTTCCTATGGAGGCTGAAAATGAACGCTCCGTGACAGATGCTGAAATGCAGGCGGGTATGGAATACAGGACCCACCCTTGTTTCACTCATTTAGCTGTCATGTTTCTGGAAAAGTGGAGAGCTATAGAAGTGTCCCTTCCACATACTCTCGCCCCGTCCAGCGCACAAGCTTTGCAGCTATTCGCGACACTCCTGCGACCATTCCCCCCTATTCTTAACGTGGTCAGTTAATAATAAAAACCCGATTTTCAATGTATTGGTCAATTTGTATGATTGTTGACTAGCAATATACTTGTACTTTGAATTTATTTCTGAACTGAATTGAGATATAAATTAGAGCCCGAAACGTGTCATAAAACATTTTGGAGCGTTTCATACCATGTAAAGCCAGTACCGCACTAAAGATCAGAAACAAATGAGCTGAATGAAATTCCGCTTGGCACAGGTTAAGTAAGCTGTATAGCGCGTGCGCTGATTAACTTGATATTTATTCAACCTATCCAATTTATTATTTATTATTGATTTAACCCAATTGTTTTCGCTATAATGAACTTCTCACAACAATGGGATTGCTGTGCATAGACGTGAAGAAGTGCATGAGTAACCGAAAAAAAATGCTTTAATTTCACCCAACCTTATAGATACTCCACGAATCCGGATGTCTAGTTGATGCTGACCATCAAGTACTGGGTAATAAGCGATGCCAATCACGCCTGGGTCACTTTCGCTGCGCCTGAAAATGATACGATTTGTTAGAAAAAAGCGAATGACCCTCGCAAGGTCACACAAACCCAATGTGAACTTCAAGACTGCGCCCATCAGGTGCGATCACTGTTGCGGTAATATCTCGAACGCCACCATCAGCTCGGTCGGTCGGCACTACCTCACCGCATGCATCACGTAGTTGCACATAAACGATGCATTGGCGCTCGCGGATGGGTCTGAACAAATGGGATAGGATAAATGAACCTTGTCAATTGATGATCGATGTTGCTTTCGACATCTGATAATAGTAGCAACCTTTTATATCCTTCGCCAACCAAATGGCACTGACGAGCACATGGCCCACTTTCGAGTTCACCCAGAGTTCGAATTCTGAAATGAAACTGTCATGGCCGGACACTGTGGAAGTTTATCAGGTTAAACTCTTACTGTGAGAGAAGCTGGTTGTCAGGAACGGTGAACTTAACAGCATCATTCTCGTGCGGAATCAGATGGATAGGCTGTGCGTAATAACCTGCAGTAGGTCTTGGAAAGCGTTTGCGAGTTGAGAGTTATCATCTTCAGAAGTGATTGCCTCCACCGACTTGATAGTCTGAAAAAGTCACAATTCATAATACAAAATAATCCGAGAGTCAACTACAGCAATTTTGACTGCATCTCATTCGGGGTGAAAACGAATCGAAGCACAACGGATTGTAGAAAACACAACAAAACCTTTTTCAAATAAGTAACTTTGATTCACTGGATCACAGTTAAAAACTTCTCAAACACAGATTATATGAGGTTATTTACCTGCGCAAACTTTGCTTTCGCTGCATTCAAATTTTCTGCTTGAGCTTTCAAATTTTTTGTTTTGGATTGTCTGATAGTATCCACTCTCTGCAACAATTCTCTCTTCCTCTCCTCCAAAGCACTCATATGTAGGTGTATAAGCGACCGTAGTTCCGATGCAGCTGCCTGCAAGCAACCAAAATTCCCCTTAGAAAGCTTGGTAAAATGACGAAGTCTCCGACATACCTGTACACTAGCGTCGACCCGTTCAGACATCGTGCGCACGCTTTCCACAGCCTCCTCAATACTGCGTTCGTTACGACGCGATTCCGCAAGCATCGAAACCACACACGCTCTCACATCGCCTGAAGGACAACGTGAGAAAAAACTTCGTATTTCGTTTGAATGGGTCGCTTTACTGCCTACTGCTTCAATCCGTGGCAGAGCACTCTCTTTCTACCAAGGACCGTATGCAGCCGCGCCAGAGCAGGGATAGGTTCGCTACACCGTCTCTGTCCCAAAGCGGGGACCAATCCCCTTCCCTGGCGGGGTATGCAGCAAAAGATCGAGTTAAGGGCTGCGCCATAGAACAGTCATTTTTCGGTGCGTCCTGTGACGCGACGATTCGAAACGGTCTAGTGTAAGGTTGCGGGACAAGTGTCCTGAAAGTGATAGGTCCTTAAGCACAACACTCGGAACCTATGCATGTATTTTTGTAAAGTTAAACACTGAAAGTCACTGTACTGAAAGTAAAGAAACCATGTCGTTGAACGCAAATAAATTTGGATTTTTCGTTTCCCTACCCTGGAAGAGGGCTAGCATGGGGCCCTGGTGGTTTCAAAGCTAACATAACAGTCACTGAGGCAGATGAACTTTGAAAAGAACGAAAAATAATGTTCAATAACAGTGTGCAACTTCAAACTTTCGTTTGGTATATAAAAGACTACAAGGAATGGAGATAAAACTCTCGTCTAACGCCTGACATTGCTATCTCCATGTAGCATAAGGGCAGTATCATATTAAGGCTATTTCTACAGTCATTCAACGAAAAGGAAAGAAATTAAAGACCAGCAAACACATTTTACCCTATTTAAGATGAACATACCTAAAGGAACGATGTGATGCGCTGAATGACGTGATATACAGTGAGCACACAGTGTCACCCTACCACAAGTCTCACACGAGCAGAACACTTTAGCGTCATGCGTGGAACAAACTGAAGACGGCCTTGGCGAAGAATCCGACGATCCGCCAAGGACACCATCCTCTCCTGTGCCGAACGCATTTGCAGTCTTAAATCTCCACAATTAACGCAATGCAACTAATTCAATAGAGAACCCAGAACGTATTCAAAATAAACCATGTGATTGAGAAGCTGCTGTAGAGATATGACGACATGATCGCGTGTGACGCGAACTCTTTGGTGAGCGACCACACACACGCCGCAAAGCAGTTCACGGCAATTCGCACAGAACGCTCTGCTCTGAAATCATTCGTTATTAGAAGATTTCTCTTCATTCTTCTCAGCATCATCAGTTGAACCTAGGTATGCCAAGGAAACCAATTTCGGCGAAGAAAAAGTTCCTTGTCGCGGCGCTCGACTCAAAACGGCTACATCGTTCTCCTACATGGAGATTATACCTTGTAGATGAACTAAGCACATGACACAAAAACAGAATCATAGCCATATGGATTACCTATTTTCAATAGATAGCTTTCTTGACAATTGAGTCGCACCCTGAGATGGCGCTTAATCTTCCCCTCCCCTTTGAAACACCTAGGTTTCTCGCAATCCTTTCTTTCCCAATGGCACGGGAGGATATTACTCCTGAACACGTTATATTGCACGTGCCAGTTGGGTCCTGTCACCATTAGCGAAGACGTTTTTACTTCACACATAGGCAGCGCGTCGCAGAGAAATTTCTAGCAAAGTACGAAACAGCTATGGTCGACTCTGCTTATTCGCTGGAACTTCATTCTTGACTTCATCGCAACCTTCAACATCCCCACTCTACTTCTCACGTGTCGCTTCTTAGCAGCCATGACGAAATGAGCTTGCGACCTCCCTAGGGAATCACTCCAGATTCGCCAATCATAACACTAAACGGTAGCGAGGTAACTTTTGAAACGCACTTATCCCTCTTTGTGCCCACAGGCCAAAACAGCTCATGACTATCCTCTAAGTTCAACCGGCGATGTGCATCATTTTAGGTAAGTAATAGGTAACCAGCCACCTTTGAATAGACGAAATATGCGCTCTACTCTATTAGTGTCACTTTACCCTCAGGGTTGGGACAGACCATGGTGGGGTTCCCTCCTTTATTCCAAGTAAATGTAAGAAAAAAAGCTTCATGTTCACTTGCAATAAGTAACCAACACACGAAACCATTACTGCATAGAGAAAACAATTAGATTCTGTACTCCGAAATTCCAGAAAACTTATGGCTCCACAAGTGTGGCAATCACTGATAATCATATGAAAAGATTCCTAGCAGACAATACTCTGATCAATAAAAAATTTACTGAGGCGTTAGCGCGAAAAAGAAAACATCCAAATCATTCTCAGATACCGCTTGGCATTACTTTCATAATCGCACTATTACCCGTACAGTAAAATTCAATGTGGAAAAGCTTTTATCTCCTTGTTCCCTACACAGATCGAAAAGCCAAGGCCAGTTTTTCCCTTTTTCATAGGGGACGACGGTACTTGAAGCGCCCTTCAGCTGAACAAACAGTGACATATGACAGATAAGCCGACTCAAAAGATCACAACCTTTAGATCAAATCGATTGAGTACACAATCAACAACGCACTCCTGTTGGCACTACACTACTAATCTATTTCGTATAACTGTTGCTGACCAAAACAAACGCATATATATTTATATTACTTCGTTGAATATATGCTATACGAAGTTATTATTATTTTTACCATATTTCGAGTCTCTCCTAATGCAGAACTCGCACGAGAAGCTAGCAAATCGGGAACGTTTACCAGGATCTTCTCATCGCTGTGGGACATCTTTTACAAAGGAAATAGTGAACCAAATCGGGGCTACCTACAGCTTACCCACAAGTCGCCAAAATGGCAACGAAGAGGGGTGAGGGCGTGTTTAGTAGCGCAGATAAAGTTCTAAGCGGCACCACAATTCACAGATAAAGCTTCAGACACGTTGTTGTGTGCGCACCCACCCAACCCTTTTTTTTTACAATTTTTCACCAATAGTCTTAAAATTACCATTAAATTCTTACCGGTGCAGTATTTTTGGAATCAGATAATAGACATGAACAATTTTGGAAGATAAAAAAGTAGGCATTAATCAAGGAAAGTGAGTTTCCTCTGTGTGGAAATGCGACACGCATGACGCGTGTTGTCAATGTGTTCCCTGACTTTTGTTTGTTTTCTCCCTCTTCGTAACACTTGAGCATAAAATTGAAACATAAATTGCGTGCAGTGTTAGGTAATAAGGATGCCGCCAGGGACTCAAAAAAGAATATGCTTGTGAAGCACAGCATGGTACAGCGTGGAACCGAATCCGGTTGCGCATCGCATGCGGAAAATCGCCTCCGCGACGGCCTACTAGCACTACTGCACGAAACGCTTGATTATGATTCTTCGTCCTCATGTGGCTTTATCTCCTGGGATCATTCGAGAAATCACAAATTCAATCCTTGGGAAGAATTAGTTCTATTTGCTCGTTATTTATCGACTATTTTATTGCCAAATGACGGCGAAATAAATAGCTGTGGTGATGTCAACCATAGAAACCGTCCTGTGGTGGGAAAAAGCTGAGTAAAGCTTCAAACACAGCAGTAAAGTACCCCAGTAAAGTCCACACCCTTACCCAAAACATGACATCAGAATGAATCGTTGCCCAAACCCCCAGCAAAAAGCCGCCTTTATCTGACATCAATTGAAAGAAAGTAAGTTAGATATCATCCCTGCGAAGGGTCTCAGTTTCCAAGCTTACAACTCAACTAGTAGTATACGTGACTTGACTTCCCAATTCAAATATATACAACCCGTCAAACCGATAAACCGCGTCAAGTGTTTTTATTTGCGATCGATACGCAGGATGTCAGCATCGAATTCTCTGTCTCAACCTTTCCATTTCTTGACTTCATCTTTATTTCAGTGTATATCTGGACGCTGCTAAGGTCTACCTTTGGCCTGGTTTACATAGGCTACCTATTCTAAACATGCTAACAAACGGAAAGAAACCTCAGAGTCGCAGCAGCAAATAAGCAATTTTTCTTTCATTGTATTATATCTTTATGGAAACATTTATTTGAGATGTAATTCTCCATATATGGACAAGAAAAAGAATGTGTGTGGCATCATTTTCCCTAAACAACAACTCTGACTTTGAATGGGGCGTTCCGAAGTTACGTTAGGGTTAGATTTGTTTTTTTTTTTTTTCAAATTCGAAGTACCAAAATCTTCTTCAGGAGCTCAGATTCCTCAATTTTTCTTACCAAAATCATTGTTTTCGTAGATATTTTTTCGGATCTTCTGCATATTTGGATGAAATTTTCTGCACCTTGGTAAACGTACAGGTTCTTTGAAATCTGTTGATGGCTTTCTTGCTTCTCCGCTTATGATGCATTAATTAATTTTCAGTTTCAGGTGGAAATACTCAAGGACACACACAAAGCTGTAACTATCACAAACAGCAAATGGAAGTACGACTAGCCTTGCATTTTCTCCACATGTTGCACATGATAGCAGCATTGAGCGTTGTGTGGTGACGTTTGACGAAGAAAGCATCGAAAGAGGAGAGGTAACCGTAGGAGTTGTGACCAGTTGAGAGTTCGGAGAAAACACTGACGTATGATCTTCTTCAGATCGTACCGGTGTCTCCGGAAGAACAATGCCTTGCGAAACGGAACTGCGAGGTGTTGTTGGAATTTTGGTACGATTATCCCACAAGTTAAACGACTCCAAATGACCAGACAGTTCACTTAGGCCAAGGCTTACACCCTGAAACAATGAAATAATAGTAACGCCACAGTAGAGAAGGAACAACAGTTAAAAAAATACATGTAAACTGTCGGTCAGCCCATTTTGATACGATGCAATGGACTGATTGTGCAGTGACAACGAAGAGTCGAGAAGTTCTGAAAAATACAGGTTATTACATCACATTGCTCATACTGCTCCATACTGGGCTGCTCCCCACAAACGTAATACCGGCAGACTCGTCTCTGACAAAGCTGGACCTACGACAATTCTGAGTTTTGTGACTTGTCAGGCCTATCGCAAACGAAAAGAAAGACTAGGTTCAGTTGTAACTAGCAGTGAACTGCACTTTCCATGAATTCGGAGCCATATTTATCCTGTTTGGTTACTGATATGGCTCTGCTTTTGGAGAGATAACCGCAACTTCACAGAACTGCAGTCGGATTTGCGCCTACCCATCCAAGCGAAGGAGTACTCAATATAAGAACGGAACTAACCGTTTGAGTGATCGGTGTGCGGTGGTGACAAGAACATGTAAGGTGGAAATGGGTTGGTCCCTGCACTTGCATAGCAGATTAGACACTTCCGACTATCCGTCAAGGAGCAACAGTGGCCACAGATTCTGCAAATTATGATTCGTTAACTGGGATAAAATTCAAAAATTCCCAGAACTGAAATGAGTGAGCTAAAGCACCTGTCATCAGCTTTTTCTAGCGGTAGTGACAAAGGCTAAACAGCCGATCACTATGGAATACAAAAGTATTCCTTAACGATGACCGAATCAGTTTGCAGAAGATAACGAACTTATGTGAGCAAGGAAACTGGCGATGTTGCCCTTGGATATCTTTCTGACAGAGCGAGCAACGTTGTTGAGATGATCGGAACGGCAATGAGAACATGTCATACTGCGGAGATGAGAGAAGAGACTGTGGCGTTTCGAACAAACTACCCTGAAATCACGGACGGACACTTAGTACGCAGCAACCTTCACGTAAACGATTTAAACAGCGACACACACACAGTGACCATGAACCTCCGTCATTTGGAGACGTCTCATCCCCCATGCGAATCCCTCATCCTGCCCTCCTGCCTACTGACACTACCACTATTACCCTGGAAAATCAGTAAGGTTTCTTCGTTTTGGCCCATGATTTCAGTCTTTATTGGAACAATGGGCTAGGCTTACTTTAACCCAACCGTTCTGCTGGGGAACTTCTTTAAGGCGGACCATAGAAAGACGGAAAAAGTGGCTTTGAGCTATGTTTCGTTCCGAGAACGTTCCTTTAGCAGTGTAAGGAAAGTTCAGTTCTATGGGAAAACCTACCATATGCATCCAGAGTTAAACAGCCCTCCTCTCCCCTCCCCCCACTCCCCGTACTCATGCAGCTCTCCTACACCAATAGGTCGGACTTCATTTCCGAACATCTTTAGTTCAAAAATAATTACTCCCGAAATTCATGGAAAGGATTATTTTTGGACTCATTTCCTTAGGCTTCTCTACACTTTCCTCTATCGGACAGTATTTCACCTTATTTATTAACTTTCGCTACTTCTCCCACTTATTTTGTGCAAGGGTTCCAATTTTACTTTCCTGTCTGTTTGGAGTTACCGTTAAAAACAACCACCAACTCATACCGAGCCATAACTTCACACGCTTACTGTTCCAAATACTCACATGATAACCATTACTAGAATTGAAGGAGTCCTGTCCATCTGTGGTGAAAGGGCCCGCAGTTGTGGAGCCGCCTCCGGCCTTCTGACCCGCTCCTTCGTTTTCATCGTTTCGAGAATCCACACGCTGCATTGTGTTTCTTTGGCGAATCGTGAGTAATTTAGCCTAAACGGAACAATCCTTGAAAGCTGATATCGCCGATTGGAAGCATTTGGAATGTGCTAGAGGAAAACTTCGCAAACAAGCCTAATCCTTCGTCATTGGAAATCGGATCGAACCCCGGAAAATCCGCGATCTTCACTGTATTCCACAAATTGCTTTTGATGCGGTTCCCAAAACGCATGAAAGGCGTTTTCAATATCTGGCGGCGAAGATCAGCGAATTTCCGATAACGACAGCAAATTGCACAAAGATCGCGTTCAGAAACGCAAACGGAGAAGTACTCGAACCATCTACGTACCTGATATTCAGAAAGATGCTGTGAGCATCTCTAGTCAATCTACTAGTGGACAGACGAAAGCTGAGCCTCGAACTGTCCTGCCAAGCTACCCGTCGACCGCGTCGGCCTCAAAACAAACTATCAGTTGTGCTGAATTCTAAGTGACAAGATCATTTAGACACTCAGCATATCGGCACACATCATCCTAAAACCATGAACAATTAAAGATTTCAGTTTCACGCGAACAAACATTGGCCACGGATCGATACGCGGTTTTTTCGTGGAAGGAGGGCCTTGTCTAGGGGGGTCGCAGTCAGGGACCGCGCCCACAGGTTCCGGCAACGACTACGTCTCGAACCGGACCAATAAAATCGGAAAAGTAAAGAGGTAACGGGTCGACGACGACTTTTTCTGAGCGACAGCGGGCGCGCGAGAGGCACGAGCACTAAAAAAATGGCTGAAAAACTGGGAGAGAGAGCGCAGACAGTGCAGAGTCCGACGGCATAGACGCAGAGGTGTCGACAACAGCGGGAAAAGATCATCGGGCATTCGAGTAGGGTTGAAGCAGCGTAGATCAGCTTCTTGGGGATGAGCCGGAGCGGGTGGGGCTCATTTATGGATCGAAGGACGTTTCCTTGGCGGTGAGCTGAGCCTTGCAGGTGCCGACAGGAGCCGTGGAGAAGCCGGAAGTGTGCTCGTTGTGGCCGAGTTTTCACGGTGCTCAGTGTAGAAGACGGTTTTTAAAGAGGCGATCAATGCTGGCCGATGAATCCACCAGAAAGGCCTTCAAAGAGTTCGCCTGTCGACACAGGACATCACGGAGTCAGCTGATGAGTGGGGGGTCGGCAATGTCGTCGTGGGGGGTCGCGGCAGTGTCAGATGAGGTGAACATCCCGCATTTTCCTTAAGCCTGTACATCGATGATCTTCCAAAGATCTAAATGTGATAATGCTGATCTATTTCGGCTTATCAGCCTCTGTGAAACCATGTGTTGAAAAATTATTCACTTCAACCAGAACCGAATTTCTCTGATAAGATCAGAGGTCCTTTCAGAGAAATAACGGCCGGTCCTACAAAGTGCTTGTTGTTCCTTAAGCTATATGATAAGCCTGAAAATTAGCTCTTCACTCCGGTTTGTAACCAACCAGGTTGCCGCTTTGCTGTAGCTACCTGTGTGGTCATCTTACCGGACCACTGCATTCCGGTCAGGGTCAACCGTGCGTTGCGCAGATTTCAAGTTTTTTTTTACGAATCCCTTTCCCCATCTTTTGGGGGG